ACTCGTGGGCGTTTTGGAAACGAGGAAATTACCGTGTTACGTTTCGTTCACGTAACGTAACGCAAAGGTAACGATATGCAACAAGCTCATCCCACGTACGATGCCTAAAAACCATTGCAAAAGTGAAATTTTAATCTTTGCCAGGATAAATAATGCATTTTCATTTCAGGCGCGGTTCTGTCCGATGTGAAATTCAAATTTCATGTTTATATTAAGCCGCTTTGCGGAGCGCCAAAGGGCACATTAACATTACATTTTTTTTTGGAATCGCCTCGATCGTGGGTGTTATTCTTTAAAAAAGATATACATATTTCAATATTTACATTATTTTTATTTGTTTTAAAGAACTTTACTTTAGTAATATAAAAATATTATTGCTAACTGCTAATTCAAATAATTCAATTATTATAATAAATAAAATGAATTATTGTTTAAATTTTTATATATTTATTAATTAATAAGTTTTTAAATAAAACTTTATAGTTTTTACAATGAATCGAATAATAATTACAATTTCTTAATCATTTTATTAACAAAAAATATCAAAAATGAATGATTTAATTTTATATTTATTAATTACTTTATAAGTATAATTAAAACATTAGGAAATACTTTATTGACTTATTTAATAATATAAACTTTAATTAATAACTAGGATTATTTGTGCAACAAATAAATGTAATAAATCTAGACTATCCTTTCATGGATATTGTCCTTCGAATAAATTCCTATTGATTCTACTTTTAGAGCAAATATTGTCGCAATAATTTATGATAATAATACTTTATATGTACAAACTACATAAGACATTTGAAATTATGTACTTCCGTACTAATTTTCTTCAACGGAATGTTAATTACGTTCTAAAGTTTGATCAGATTTTTCAAATAATACTTATTGCATCTACAAAATATTGAAAATATTTGATACTTAAAACGGAAGTATTAATTTTCTTCATCGGAATGTTAATTGCATTTTAGTTTCGTTAAGAGTTTCACTTAACTAAATTTTGACAATTTTTTTTATCCTGGATATTCAAATAAATGTGTGTCTTAATGTATGTACAAACTATTGAATATATTTGATACTTAAAACAGAAGTATTCAATTTATTCCCCGGAATGTTAATTGCATTATAATTTCGTGAAGTGAAACTAACGAAGTTTGGTCACATTTCTTTTCAAACGCCTCTTCAAAGATACTATAAAAAAAGATGTAGGAACAAATACGCATAAAACTTTGTAGGTCAAGAGATATCCACGCGTTAGTAAACTATGTCAAACGAAGAGAAGAGACATAAAAAACCTTCATCGAACGCATCGTCATCTTCCGCTAAACAAAAACTTTACAGCTCTGATAATTATTTTCAATTAATTGCATTATTTTTTTAAATTTATAATTAAATATATTTAACGTTTTTTCTTTATAGTTCCTTTTACGAATTTGATATAAAATTGCGACTTTTGTGGACCACAGCCTCCAGTGGATGATTCGTTTTTTAACTTCGTAATTGTATTTTATAGACCAAATCATTATTCAATTACTTTAGTACTTTAGTTACACGAACTCTCGAATAACAAGATCAATAATAACACGACATTAAGTATGACACATTACTGCAAATGCACGATTTCTTTGAAGTATACTTTTCAAGTTTTTTAACAGTATTACTTTTGTTCTTTAAGCTAAATCGTGGACATTTGAGGCCATTTTTATATATAGATTTGAATAACACGATTTTGAATTGCACGAAATAAAATAAATGTGTTGACTGTACTGTTTTATTGAATATATATTTAAAAATAGATTTTTTCATTGCATCCTTCAATTTTATAATATTTTAAATTATTTAGTTTTTTTTTGTTGATGATACTGCAGTGTCCTTCAAGTAATATTATTTTTTTGTTTTTTGATATTGAATATATTTAGAAAACAGTTTTTTTATTTGAGAAAATTTGTAACTATAGAAGGCAGTGAAGCAACTTCTAAAACAGCCTCGAGCGACAAGAAGTGGTCTCTAGGTCAAAATCCAGTCAATCCACTTCTCCGTCGTGGAACCTGTAAAAAAAAACTAATAATATGGAAATGAAACAAACGAAAACTGGATTTCTGTGTATTCGAATAAATCCAGTTCATTTTGGGCTGGTTGTCAGCTGTCAATGTAAATGTCCAAATTTCTGTAATGCTAGCATACATCATCCTTCTGTGGATCCTGCTAGATGTGATGTTCTATATCTATAAATCTTGAAAGCAAATCTAACTGAATCTTGTGGTATGTTGCAGCGAACGCGTAGGCCGTTTACACACTAAAACTTCCGGCTTGTGTGTGTATCAAATTGATATATAATGCGGCCATTAAGTGAAACTCCATTCAATTAAAAGAGCTTAATCATCTGTCGCGTCTATGGGAAATTGTTGAACGAATAACAACAGTTAAGAGAGAAAGATCGAATCATATTTGTTTCTGCTATGAACCAAACGAAAGTCGCAACAGCTGACACCACTCGAAAGATCTCGTTTTCAATTTCGCTGCTGATAATGTAGCTTTGAAGTCGTCGAAAAGGAGCCGATTTGCATATGGAATCATGTCAATTGGATTGCCGTTAACGCATTTTTACGACAAACAATAAATGATTTCGATTTTCTAAACAATACTTGCTTGTTTGAACTCATAAAAATTCCAGTTAAAAGAAATAACTTTTTTTTTAGCTTTTATTGTTCATTCACAACCTGCCAACATCTCGGGCTATAAGTTGAATGGGAAATAACTTAATATATAAGTTATACTATTACTTTAAATGAAGTAAAAATTAATTCAGTAATTTGCCGATGTAAACAACAATTTTCTATGATTTTTTTTTACAAATTATTATATTTATACAAATCTTTTCATACCTCTAACAATAAAAATCCATTTTCTTGTTATAATTGACCATTTTTATAAGACTTTTTAGAGAAAATCGATTCTTAGGTCGATTATAACGAAAATTGATTTCTAAAATGATTTTATTTTTGCTATCAAAATGTGGAAATTTATTAGTTTTCGATTAATTAAATAAAATCATACTCCTTTTTCGAAGCATAAAATGAAAATATTCAAATTACGCAAAAATCGTTATTCTTTAATATCCTTTTACTTTTGAGTCATTTAGTAAAACGTAAATGAAAGAAAGCAAAAAATAAATATATGTCAAAAACATTTTTTACATAAACATCTGTTAACATATGAACAAAATATTTTAGAAAATGAATAAAA